CACTACAACGTTACAATGGCTAGGATGTTACTAGGTGACAGGAATTTTTTCAGCTGCATTATAATCTTTTTTTTTTTTTTTTTTTTGAGACAGAGTCTCACTCTGTTGCCCGGGCTAAAGTGCCATGGCATCAGCCTCGCTCACAGCAACCTCAAACTCCTGGGCTCAAGCAATCCTTCTGCCTCAGTCTCCCAAGTAGCTGGGACTACAAGCATGTGCCACCATGCCTGGTTAATTTTTTCTCTATATATTTTTAGTTGGCCAATTAATTTCTTTCTATTTTTTAGTAGAGATGAGGTCTCACTCTTGCTCAGGCTGGTTTCAAACTCCTGACCTTGAGCGATCCGCCCACCTTAGCCTCCCAGAGTGCTAGGATTACAGGCATGAGCCACCGTGCCTGGCCTGCATTATAATCTTATACGACACCACTGTATATGCAGTCTGTTGTTGACTAGAACGTCACTGTGTGGTGCACTACTGTACTTTATTGTCCAAAACTTTCTATTGAAAGTTTTAGTTCATTCATCTTTGATTTATTTTCCAAGAGCTCTTTCTTATATTCTTTTGTTATAGCATATTATTCTTTCTTTATGGATGCTTTATTGTTTCGGTCTCTCATATTAATTATAGTTTGAAATTTTCTCCTGTTCCCTGCATTGTTTCTATTTACTTGGTTTCTTTTCTCTGTTTTGTTTCATATCCTTACTGATAGGTTGTAAAATCATGGTAATTTCAATAGAATTTTAGTCCTATGTAATTTATTCTTATTTTAGATTTTAGTAAAAATTAATTTGGAATAAGTGAGCATTCATATTTTGGTAGGATCATTTAGAAAAATAAATCTGGCATACTGACTTGTTCTATGTGTTGCAACCACCACTGCCTTATGTTTGTGGCTATCTTAACTTTTCAAGAACCATCTCATTATCTATCAGTTACATGCAAACATACATAATATCTCTGCTGCTATTTCGTTTCTCTAGATTCTCTAAATTGTTAGTGAACAGTTCTTAATTAGCTTTGAGGCTCTAGGGTGTTAATTTTGAATTGCTTGAACTGTGAAATCTGATTATCTTGAGCCAGCATAAACTCTCACTCCAGAGTTTGTGTTTTTCTGTTAGAACTGTACCTCACATACCTTGGAGTATGTAACCTTTTAAAATTGAGTTTAATTTCACTTATTATAAAAGGTAATTTATTTTCAACTAAGGTCTCACACACACAGAAAAGAAAAAAGGTAATAACATTGATAAATGTATCATAGTCAAGGTTTTGCAGACCATAGAATTTTAGCCATTGGCCTCAACTTTAACGGGGCAGGGGCAGCGGTAGGGTAGGCGGAAGCAGAGGACTGCCATTAAGTATCTGTTGCAGCCAGAAGTTGTGGGTCATTAGGGACATTATTTGTCAATCATAAAACAGACCTCTACCTCTTCTGCTCTCTGGGGGCAACCTTGGGGATACCTCAGAAAGAATGACTGCCTTGATCTTCTAACTCAAGATGCCTGCTTCTTGCCTTTTTCTCAGTCATCTCATGGACAGGAAGAACTGAATAACTACTAACCTGCCTGGTGGAAGGACTTGCTGAATGTTCAGTGTCTGAATTTCATTCCCTTCCTCCAGAGGCCTTTCAGATCTTTCCTCACAGATGTTCCTCCACGGATCTTCTAGATTTATCTTCAAAGTCCCCAAATGTGAGGTTTCGACAACACAGCTTTTAATCAAGGCCTAGAAGAGTTGTCAGTTCTTAACTCTACCTCTCCTTGCACCTCAAGCTGTACTTTATTGAGGACTCTGCTTCCCTCCCCAGGAAACCCCCAGTTCCTGTTAATCCTTTTCTGCAAACAAGTACTTATCCTTAAGGATAACATGTCATCCTAAAGACAGATGAGGGTCTTACATCTTTTTTTTTTTTTGGGATGTGCTATTGTAATATATTCACTGCCAAGAGATACTTACTGAGCAAATGATGGATCTATCATATACAGAAAAATTGACTTCCCATCAACTGCATAATATGAAAAGAAAAATTATAATGAGAAGCACTGTCAAAATGTGAGATAGTACAAAATATATTCATCATTCACATATAAAAAATAAAGAGAAGCACCTGCCCATTGCAAACACTTAGAGGTAAATGAACAATAGGTAGAAGGATGGTGGTGCCTCCAGTTTGGATGATGATGTTCACATTTACTTGTGCTGTATTTATTGGCTATTTCTTAACTTTAATAAGACCTGAAAATAGTTTCAATGAAGGGGCAAGATGTAGTGAAGTCTTAGCCAAAAGGCAATAATTATAATACAGCATAGGTCAAAAAGCCACAGGTTATTAGAGTTCAAATTACTATGATCCAGTCCTGCTTAAATCCACTATTACAACTAAAAGGAAGAATGCAAGCATTTATAAATATTTATGTATTTTATATTGAGAAGTCAGATCATTACTTCTTTCTTTCTTTCTCTTTCTTTCTTTCTTTCTTTCTTTCTTTCTTTCCCAAAAAATAAAAATCTTCAAAAGAGTTTCACAGAAATGGAAACATATATTTATTCTTTATCCACCTTTTCACATTAGAATATAAATATGCTATTAATTGACTAACCAACTACATGTCAAAGCCAATTAAATCATGATGAGTAAAGCCAATAAATACTTCAAGTAGTATTTCAGGTGTGCTCATACATCTCCCCAAAGCTATATGAAATGCATTTAAGAAAAAAAATGGAAATTTGGAGAGTTAGTATTTCGTCTAATTTTCTACATATCCATTTTAAAATGTAAACAAATTCCAAATTTGATATTTTGACATATGATTTGCAAGACAGCATACAAGGGTGAAATACTTCTACTAGACAGAGAGCACTGTTGCTTTGTATTCTTCTACTCAGTCCTAATCTGACATACGGAATGTTTTATTGTCCTAAATTGCATGCAATCAGATTGCCCCAGTTTAAACTGTTAATCTTTTAATGTTTTGCTTCTTTAAGATCCTACCTTATTTTACTTGTATGTAGCCAGAGTGAGTGTTGTAAAAATTGCCCAACTTCTAAAAATTAACAGCAACACATAACAAAAGGAATAAAAAAGAGTTGATGATTCACTAAACTGCAGGCCACAGAAACTGAATCTCATAATTTCCAAATACACTAGAATATTTCCAGAAACTGAAGGTAGACATAGCAAATGTCTTCCTATATATTAAGACCTCTAATGTGAAAGAAACAGTGGAAAGAAAGCTGCACGGCCACAGAAACAAGTCTGATCCATTTGGTAGAAATTTCAAAAGGGTAGATTTTTACCTGAGACAAAAAAAATGTGATAATTTAAAATGTCTAATTATTTATTTGCCTGAGGGTAGTGATTTCTCTGTTGATGGAGGTAGTCACTGAAATGTATGATAGCTATCTGTCAGAGTTGGTATAGAAAATATGTCTTCAATAAGAGGTGAGGTGAAAAAAGAACCACTAATATCCCTTAAAATTCTAAATCCACTGGTTCAAAGATAACACCTGTATTAAAATTGTTACCTGTCCAGTTTTTCCAATTTTTTTCTCTATTGAATTAAGGAAAATTGAATATATATTTTTTATAACATAGAAGAGATTATAAATTATTAAAATATGTTTAAAATGATTTCAAAATTGGAAAATATAGCATTATCTAAGGTGTATTGAAATTGAAATTTTCATGTAGTATTGATAGGAAATAAATCTCATAAATATTCCAAGGATTGTGTGTGAGCATTTCTTGAGCCAAACAATCATTATCTCCTAGAAAGATATCACACAAGGTTATCTCAAAGTTATATACAGAATAACCAGTCTTATTTATAATGGCTATAAGCTTTAAATAACTCAATAATGACTTATAATTAAGCAAATTATAATACATTGAATAAGTTATAATATATAGAATATCAGGTAGCCATTAAAAATGGTAATATAGAACTATTTACACAAAAAGATGCAAAGGTCCATTTGTGTAAAAATGAAATCTCTCTTTCTGTGATTAAATACCCATCAATACACATATGCTCACAGACACACTTTTAGACTCATAGCTATACATGGGTACTGATTTTTATAGTTTTCTTTAGGTCAGGTTTTAGTCTGAAAATGTCAGTTCTTGGCGCGCTCATGGCTAAAGAATGACCAGATGCACCAAAGTTAGGCAAGCATGAAAACGAGGTTTATTGAGGAGAGAAAGATAGCATTATAGGGCAAGAGCAAGATATAGGTTTACAGAGCATGGTACATATGCCACAGATGATGACTGGACCCATCGTAGAGAGAAAGAGCAGGGTCTTACATCTTTCGTGGCTTCCATGCCCTACCTGGCTGATAAGCAAGACCGACCCTGTGCTCTATTGCTCGCGATTTGATTCAGTTTTCCAGCTCCCTTCACTTACTCCAGGCTCAATATGTGCTCCTTCCTGCAGAGTGGAAGGCTTTACCCTTGATAAAGACTTGACTTACTTCACAGTAGCTGGGAGTTGGATATTCAGGGCACCAGTAGACCCCCTTATTTAGGCCCTGTACAGACCAGGGCTTTTTAGTGCAAAAGTTAACTTTTGCGTCCAGTGACTCTCAGGCTGAGTAGGCTGTATGCCATGCCATTTACTTTGTATGACCTGCACATAATACGGCAATTTCTAATCCCTCACTGCTCTGTGTAAATTGGAGACACCAGTACAAAAGCACAGCCAGCTTCATAGGACTGACTAGTCAGGTTCACTCATCCCCAGGCAGGCATCCACAGGTCACTGATGGCTACAGACGGACTCTGCTGTACACGGTGCCCAGGTGCTAATTGCTCCATACAGCCCGGACCCTGGCACCCTCAGTCGCTCACACATACAGCCAGTTGCTCCCTTCCTCTGTATCCCGAGACTCCAGCACCCGCAGCCGGCGGTGTCCCAGCTTTCCTGGTCCCCGGCAGACGGTGGCCGAGGGGCGGCGCGGGTTTCCAGCCGGCGTAGTTAGGCAACCGCACGCCGGAAGTGGCGGCTGAGCGGGAGCGCTGAGGTGGCGGCCGGCGGGGCTGCGGCCGGGAGCTGGGGGCGGGGGCGTTCGTCATGTTTCCCTGTGGGCCCTGTAGCCCTGGAGGGGACGGCGCGGCCGGAGCCCGGGCTGAGGAGCTGGCGCCCCATGGGGGGCAGGCGGCAGCCGCCAGGCCGCCCTCTCCCCCTCCCCTGCCGGCGCCGCCACAGCCCGGGGCTGACGCAGCCCTTCCCCCGCCACCCGCCCGGTGCCCTCGTCGCCCCGGCGTCCCCTCTCTGTCCCCGGCCGCGCGTGCAGCAGAACTCAAGCCGCCCGGATCCCCGGAGTCCTCGGCTGCCTCCGCCCAGAGAGAGTCGTCACCGCCCTCTCCGCAGCGCCAGCGGCCTGGGCCAGACTGCAGGGCCGGGAGCCGGGGCCGGCATGGCCTCAGCGCCGGCCTAGGCGGCCCTGGCGCCAGGCTGTTTGGGTGGCTGAGAGAGCGCAGCCTGGGCCGCGGGCTGTTCGTGGACCCGGCGCGGGACAATTTCCGCACCATGACTAACCTCTATGGTTCCATCCACCCCGCGGACTCGGTGTACCTCAGCACCCGCACCCACGGTGCCGTCTTCAACCTCGAGTACTCGCCCGACGGGTAAGCGCGGCCCCTCGGAGGGCGGGTGCCAGCCTCCGCCCAGCTCTGCTGCCCGTGGACGGCCGCCCAGGGCTCGCTTACTCGGCTCCGGTCGAGGTTTGCGAGTCAGTCTGGGGCTGCTGGCCTTCATGCCCCCTGGGCACTTTCTGAAGCGCCTTGTCGCTATTGGAGCCCCCTTCCCAGCCTTTTGAGGTAGGCAAGCCAGACCTCATTTGCCCACCTTCAGGACTCTGTGAAAGATAAATGCCTAAAGCCACACAGCAGGTCTTTAAGAGCCAGCCCAGAAATAGGGCTTAGGGCTTTCTGGTACATAGCAGGTGCTCAGTAAATACATTTTAAATAAATGCCCATTTTTTTTCCGTGTCACCCTGGGCGTGGTTTTTCTCACCTAAACTTGTGGTAAGGGTAGGGAGCCTGTAGATTTCCTGTACCCTGTTCCTAGAGTTGCTATAGGGGACAAGTGCGGTCCTTTGCTCAAGGAAGATACTAAGACACTGCAGAGAGATGTCTCTCCTGATTTGGTCTGTTTGTGAAGTTCCCAGGCTAGACTACTACATGCTTATGTTACGAGTATCCAGCTTTTTTCTTGGCTGATTAAATATTTCATGTTTAGCCTTGGTTTACTTTGAGCTATGTGAAATTTTCGAAATAATATATATATATATATTTTTTTTTTTACTCAGATGCATACTCTCAGAAATATATATTTTTAAAACTTTGCCTTGTGAGTACACTTTTAACAGCAATCAGAAGAAAAATTGGCACACAGTTCTACCATGAGATGACATTGTTAATATAATCTTACCCCATCAAGGCTTCTGGGTTGGGAGTTAGTGTTCATTCATTCCCTCTTCAGCAAATATTTGTCTAGCACTTGCTGTTTTTCAAATGCAGGAGTAACAGTGCTGAGCCAAACCAGCTAATGACACTGTTTTCATTGAGCTTGGGGCTTATGGCTTCAACTGGATGTTACATAACCATACTAAATAATGCATAATGTATATTTACAAATTGAGATAAAGTCTTGAAGGAACCTGTTATGGACTAGGGCGTGCAAGATTTCCCTGAGGAAGTGACACTTGAACCAAGATCAGAAAAATGAATAGGAGGTAAATTAGCCAAAATAGGGTTGGGGACGGGATAGAAGTATTTAACATGGAGACCATGGAGGCTGGTATATCAAAGGACTTATGTCCTACCTGTGGTAGGAGAAGGACAGCATGCCATGTTAGAGAAACTGAAAAACAGTGGGTTTACAAAGCAAAAGGTTTTTCTGAAGAAAGACCTAAAATGTGCTAGGGAAAGGAGCAGAGAACAGAATCAAATTACTGTGAGGCTGGGTGCGGTGGCTCACCCCTGTAATCCTAGCACTCTGGGAGGCAGAATCCATCGAGGTCAGGAGTTCAAAATCAGCTTGAGCAAGAGTGAGACCCTGTCTCTACTGAAAATAGAAAGAAATTAGCGGGACAACTAAAAATATGTAGAAAAAATTAGCCGGGCATGGTGGTGCATGCCTGTAGTCCCAGCAACTTGGGAGGCTGAGGCAGGAGGATTGCTTGAGCCCAGGAGTTTGAGGTTACTATCAGCCAGGCTGATGCCACGGCACTTACTCTAGCCTGGGCAACAAAGTGAGACTCTGTCTCAAAAAAAAAAAAAAAGAAAGAGAAAAAATTAGCCGGGCATGGTGGCGCATGCCTGTAGTCCCAGCTATTCGGGAGGCTGAGGCAGGAGGATCGCTTGAGCCCAGGAGTTTGAGGTTGCTGTGAGCTAGGCTTATGCTAGGGCACTTTAGCCCGGGGCAACAGATTGAGACTCTGTCTCAAAAAAAAAAGAAAAGAAATTACTATGAGCATATAGACCTGATTCCAGTTCATTGATGCAAATACTTCTTCCTAATCACAAGTCCTGGGATCTCTGGGATTTCTCCTTACAGCAATTGGGTGGAGCTTGTAGCAGTGGATGCACTCCTGAATAAGGGGTAAAATTGGTGAGAGAGAAACTATTTTTCGGAAGCTTATTCATGGAACCTCTTCTTGTCCTTCCTCCAACCAAGCCCTATTCCTAAAGTTCCTTTAAAACATTAAGAGTCTGTTCCTCATAAACATTCAATTTCTCTCTTCTCCATATCCTGGCTTCTCTCCTCCCAGCCTCCTACCTATACTTTCAAGAATTCAGAAGTAGCTATTTCTACTCTTTGGAGGTGGGATTTTAGATAGAGGGTGGGAGGGGTAGAATGAATTATGAAGAAGGAATTACAGGGCTTTTAGAACAAGGGATATGTTATTACTACTTATAGTTCTTGTTTGAATCTAGACTGTATTTTCCCAGAAAAACATTTTTGTAAAAGGTGTTTAGGCATTCTGATACTTAAACCAATTTAATAATTTAAAAAAAAAATTTTATATTTCATATTTTAATATTTAATTTTATTACTTTTTTTGGCTACAGCTTGTGTTGGGTTCTAGAACCAATTCAATAATTTTTAATTAGACAATTAATATATGCTCATTGTGGAAAACCTAGGCAATAAATAAGCAAAAAGTAGCTAAGCATCACTTATGATCCCAGAGACTGAATGGATATCAAAGAAAATTTTTCTTCATGTATGTTTATTTTAGTATAAACATGGAATCATACTGTTTTGTAGCCTGCTTTTCTTATGGTATATTATGAACTAATGTTAATAAATATATTTCTACATTATTTTAAATTTTTCATTAGTTTAAATAAAACCTCTATATGCTAATATTTTATATTTATATCCTTAGGATAAATCCCTAAAATGATTTCAAAAGTTATGAAAATTTATGATACCTATTGTTAAATTACCCTCTATGAAGATCATACCAATTCTCATTCCTGTATTGGAGACACGTATCAAAGTGCCTTTCTCCCCATACCTTTGACAACATTGCATATTGGCATTATTTTTCATCTCTGTCATGGTGATAAGTGAAAATAGTTCAATGTTTTAATTTTTCAGTATTCTTCAACTATTATGCCCAACATTTATGTTGGACTTAAAGTAATTTTACAGATAGTTGATATATCTGTGTTAAATGAAATAGTTTTTTATATCCTTCAGATGTATAAGTTAAATCAGCTCATTAGATAGCATTATCATTGTCACTTACAACAACTTCTCAATACAGAGGAGGAGTGACATAGAATGTAAGGATTGAAATTATGAATTTAATAGGAACCAAACTAGAAGGAATTTGGCATTAAAAAAGAAAGGATATATAGACTAGAAGGTAATTTGTAAAGAATTCTAAAAATGTTTTAAGTGTTAATAACATTGTCAAAACAAGTGTATACCTCCTACAATAACATTTTGAAAAAGTAAATTTGATAATGTTAATAAATTAGATAATAGTATGTCAGACCTTCTCAAGCTATCCTCTATGAGAACACATTAGATATAGCTATAGAGCTGGGCGCTGTGGCTCACGCCTGTAACCCTAGCACTCTGGGAGGCTGAGGCGGGTGGATTGCTCAAGGTCAGGAGTTCAAAACCAGCCTGAGCAAGAGCGAGACCCCGTCTCTACTATAAATAGAAATAAATTAATTGGCCAACTAATACATATAGAAAAAAATAGCCGGGCATGGTGGCGCATGCCTGTAGTCCCAGCTACTCGGGAGGCTGAGGCAGAAGGATTGCTTGAGCCCAGGAGTTTGAGGTTGCTGTGAGCTAGGCTGACGCCACGGCACTCACCCTAGCCTGGGCAACAAAGCGAGACTCTGTCTCAAAAAAAAAGGTATAGCTATAGAGAAAAATGAGTATATTAGAAAATAGAAGTGAAGAAATTGTCCAGAATACAGACCTGAGAAACATATAAACTGAAACGAGATATAATTGGGGTGGAGAGACTATGTGAAGACATGGTAGCTGAGAAATTTACAGAATTGAAGAAAGGCACCAAGCCATGATTTAAAAAGCCCAACAAACCCAAGCAGGAATCCTCCCCAGACATAGTGAAACTGTGGGACAATAATATAAGATCTTAAAGTATAGAGAAAAAAAAGGACTCAAAGGAGTAATTAGGAGAGTGATAGCCTCTTAGTCATCAATTACAGTATAAAGCCAGAGACAGTGGTCATTATTTTCAATTTGCTAGGAAAAACCTCAAACTGGATTTATACCCAACAAAGATAGGTTCTTTCTCCTTGTCAAGAACAAAGATGAAATGAATACATATTATGAATACACAATGAATACACAAGCAAGGCTGAGTGAGTTTGCCAGCAGACTTTTTTTTGAGACAGAGTCTCACTTTGTTGCCCGGGCTAAAGTGCCATGGCATCAATGAGCTCACAGCAACCTCAAACTCCTGGGCTCAAGCGATCCTCCTGCCTCAGCCTCCCGAGTAGCTGGGACTATAGGCATGTGACACCATGCCGGGCTAATTTTTTCTATATATATTTAGCTGGCCAATTAATTTCTTTCTGTTTTTTTAGTAGAGACGGGGGTCTCGCTTTTGCTCAGGCTGGTTTCAAACTCCTGACCTTGAGCGATCCTCCAGCCTTGGCCTCCCAGAGTGCTAGGATTACAGGTGTGAACCACCATGCTCAGCCAACCAGCAGACTTTTATTTATTTATTTATTTTGGAGAGAGAGTCTTGCTCTGTTGCCCTGGTAGAGTGCAGTGGTGTCAGTATAGCTCACTGCAACCTCAAACTCCTGGGCTCAAGCGGTTCTCCTGGGACTACAGGCGTGATCCATGAGTGGCTGGCTAAATTTTCTACTTTTAGTAGACACTGGGTCTGGCTTTTTTTGTTCAGGCTGGTCTCAAACTCCTGACCTAAAGCAATCCTCCTGCCTTGACCTCCCAGAGTGCTAGGATTATAGGCATAAAGTCACCATGCCCAGCCTACCAGCTGATGTTATGTTATTACGTTATGCTATTTTTTTGAGACATAGTCTCGCTTTGTTGTCCCGGCTAGCGTGGGTGCCGTGGCATCAGGCTAGCTCAAGACAAACTCAAACTCCTGGGCTCAGGT